AACGTTTATATCCCAATTGTATTGATTTTCTGTTTTCTGTTATTTCAGATAAAATTACGAATTGGAAAAAATTAAAAGAAATTCAGTCAGTGTAAATATTTTGTATATAGTTTTATAATAAACTTGTATAAATATGGACTTACACTTAATTACATAATGATAATTTCATCTAGCCAAAGAGAAAACATTAAAATACTTATAACAAAGTGTGTTCATTGAATGATTTTTAATGTGATTAAAGCACAATTTTACTTTTGTCCAGATAAAAAGGATCCAGCTTTTATATTATGTATGAGTTGCGATTCTTTATTGAAATTATTTTCACATAGTAATCGAAGAAAGTGTGAAAATCTTTTTGTTTTTACTGTCACAACTAGGTGCATAGACAGACACTGGACATTTCTGACATCAATCTTTATTCGGGAATATCTTGTCGGCCAAGACACATTTCGGGCATAAGCCCCTCTTCTATCGGCATTTCTTGTAAGGAGGTGTTAACTGGTATACATCTTGCTTAAAATTACTTATTTACACTTAAAAATACTTTTACAGATAAAATTTCTTGGCTTTACTCTGAACTTGGTTCAGAGTAACTTGGTAATCTGAACTTGGTTCAGAGTAAAGCCAAGAAATTTGTTGTTATCTGTCTATGCACCTAGTTATGACAGTAAAAACAAACAGATAAAAGAAGACACAGTTTCAGAATACGCAATGTGAAAATCTTATGAGAAAAGAACAGGTTACAGTTCTAACTTAATATGCTAATATCAAGTCTTTTGTTGGGAGCACATCTTATGTCACTACATTTATCTTACAAACTTTTACTTCAGAGTTACACATACAGTATAATCAGATTTTATCTCATTGTAATGGACATTTCTACTTTATCTGTTGAGACATAAATTATGTCTCAACAGATGTGTTATAGTATCTTGTATCACATTTTATTAAGTTCACTGTAAAACAATATACAACAAAGTTGTGTATTAGGGTATATTGTGATACCATTTATGCAAGAAGTGAGTTTGTCTTACCTAAATCTAGCAATGTTTGTTAATTTTTTTGGAGTGAAGTATTCAATCCAATTTAAGTAACTTAAATTAGGAAACATAACTTTTCGGTTCCTATCCAGATTAGATGATTATGATGCCAACCAACCTTCCGACAGTTTGATGCAACAGTTTATTCCAACATAGCAGGGAGTTGCAATAAACGTCTATGGTGTTGTGCAATTTTCTTATACCCATTAATTAAAATTATTCAATATCAGGCATATCACACACACTAAAGTAAACAACAGGATACTCAAAGAAAGTTGAAAATAGTGCTTTAGAATTTTCAGAAGTATTGCCAAAGCTCTACTTCAACATCTTCACATTAAAAAGCTAAACTTAATATAAATTCTTCATATAGACAAGTCTAATAAATTGAACCAACAACAATTTATTGAAAATTAAATATACATTATTAAAATGTAACATTTATGTGAATGATACTACATGATAATAAGTACAGTATTTATATTTATGGACATATATTTGGATTAGTTTTAAATGGTTAAAATTTACACAGAAGACATTTCACGGAATGTCGTGTAACAATGTCCAGTTTTGACACCGATGAAGAAGAATGTTCATATTGCAGAGATATTTAATACAGAGAGTTGACTTCATTTTGCTCCCAAACGCTGAAAAATATGAAGAGAATTAATATATTTAACTAATAATAAAAAGGTTTAATTGTTAATTGTTGTTCTCTGGTTTCCTTTTCACAGTGATTCGGATTTGATCTTGGATTCCTCTGAATGCTGCTTCCAGAGATACAAGATCAAATCTGGATCAGAAGCTCAAAAAGTAACTTGTATAAGCTAGAGCCTATTTCTAATCATTCAGCCACTCTGAAGCTATAATATGATTGGTACCTGTTGAATTTTTGTCCATTGAAAGTCAAAACTATAGCATAAACTCTAATATACTATCATACTAACGTCAATCATTCACAATTCTTTCTCACAATGAATAATTATTGGCATTGGGACAAGACTTAATGGGATAGAAATATAATTAGTGAATATTTTAATCAGTTAAAAAAAATAAGCGAATCTACTCTCCAATTCAGAATTTTAGTTATTTCCAAAAGAAATTGTGAACGATTCTAAATATGTTGAAGAAATTAAGATAAATTACTTACGGCCTGAGACACATGTTATAGATTCCAATTCGTTCACAGACCAGACCATGACAACACGGTTGTTTCATGTACATGCCATACTTCGACCAGGAGAACATACACAGAGCTTTCTCTGGTGCACACCTATATTGGTACTGCAAATAAAAATAAAACTTCTTATACATAGAATACATTTAAGATAGAAATTATATTTTTAACGTTTATATCTTAATACTCTTGAAGTCAGCCTTCTTCGTAATCATAATTATTTTTCATTATTTCATTATAATTAATTTTTGTTTCTGCTCACCAATGGCCGAATGGATAAAAACCATTGAAGTGTCCTGTTCTCCAGGTTTACTTCACTTGTCTAACACCTAAACACAGGCAAGTTTCCCATAGAAAGGTGGCGCTTGCACCGAAAAACACTAACCGACCAACCGATAGAAAGGCTTCTGTTGATACTTCAATGCTCACCTGTTGCATTGAAGTATCCCTCCCGCAAAACCATTTTTAGTTTTTCCACCCTGTGGACAATAAATATGCTCTTTAATTATATACATCATCTGATAGCCAGATGGCTAAGTGGTTAAGCTGGCAGTCTACAGCATTGATGGATCCAGGATCGAGTCCTGACGGGTCGAAAAACTCAGGAATTTTTTTGGATATCACGCACGTCCCTGTTCTAGCTTGGCCAAACTCATAATAGGTTTCCTAAAGAAAGATAAAGGTCATTGTAGTGTTCACGTGGAGGAAGGAGTTTTAAAAAAACCTGAACTCTGCTGTGTATAAAGGAATTATTGTATTTGAAAAAAAGAGTTCTTTTTTTAAACTCTCCGCCCTGTGGGCACTACGAGGACCTCTTTTATGCAAGCCCATTATGGGTTCGGCCAGGTCCACAATGGGGCTGCCGGGTGGTGAGGACCGGGGCCCGGCATATCCGAACGGACCACCCCCCGAAAATTTCCTGGGGATTTTTCGACCCGTTCGGATTCGAACCCGGATCCCCCAGGTAGGTTGCTGCCTTGACCGCTCGGCCATCCGGCCTTTTAAACCCTTTAATACACAATTCAGTAAGTGTTGCTAACATGACACATGTATCAATTATGAACTGTTCATGATCAATACAGCAATATTTAAAGGCATAGGTCTCTGGTCTAGAACAGAAATCTATGAAAAATTAGTTCGGACCAGATTTAATCCAGGAATCCATTTTGACATCTTGTATGGCTAGTTGAGTGGGAGGACACGCTTTTCCGTTCCGTATTATTTCAAACATTTAAAAATATATTTTTTTTTACAAATATATAAGAATAAAACACTTTTTATAAAAAGATAAACTGCGAAATAGTTGTATACTCACGTCATCTTTTTTTAAATTTCGAAAAACAATTGGACTCCATTTATAGATGGGCTTCTCTTCATTATAAGCCTCGATACTTACAAATATAAATAAAGTTACATATAAAGCAATCATCTTCATTTTCGTTTCTCTGTAATTATAATAATTAAATTTACTTATCAATATTTACAAATTAAAACTTATATTTTTGTTTTGTACCGTATGCTCGGCGCCATGTTATAACTCCACGCCTTTTGGTAGCGTCGTGCAAATTTTGTATTTACACTTCCATTATAATTATATTTTACACAATATTTGAAATTATTTAAATGAATTCAAAGTGTTAGATCTCAAATACACGTTATCTTTGCATTATATTATATTCTTATAAAATATGGCGGCGACTATGTGGTGCAAACACTAGATTTTTAATTTTACTTCTTATAAAATCTGTTTGAAAATTAAATATAAACGCTTTATTGTATAATAAAGAGTATTATAATATTGTTTTTTTAAAGCAGCATTGATGAACATGAAACAAGCAAGAAAAATAATCCGAAAGATCTAAATGGATAAGAAAAATTGGCATGTCGCATTAATCCGATTAATCCGAAACAGATTCTATCAATGATCGATAACAATGATCGATGTCTAAACACAATTGATTACATTGGGCAAGCCGAAAATTTGTTCTACTTAATTATGATTAGTCTGTGACGCGAAATCGATCGCCTTCAAGATTTCAGTCAATGGACGAATTGACTGGTAAAGCGGCCTTAAACTGTTGTGTAAGCAAGCCAATGGCATGGCCAGTTTCAAACTGAAACGTGCCATCATTGGCTTGCTTATACAGCTGTATCGAAGCCGCTTTACTAGGTAATGCGCCCAATATTATAAGCGATTCATTCGGACAATAAAAGTTGAAAACACAGCTAATAATTTTTCAATGCACTGTATTTGTTATTTTTTTGTTAAACATAAGTCATGGTACAATAAAACTTATGCCAATTATTAATTTAAACTGTTACAACATAAAACGTCCTTATCCACAAGTGATCAAGAGTTAAAGTCAGAAGTTAACCAATAAACGTTCATGTACTAAAAGTCAAGTGACTGGTAATTGGTTAACTTCTAAACTGATTGTGAATACAGTCGTAAGTATAAAATTTAACTTCCCTCTATTGAAGAAAATAAGAATTAAATCTTTTAATCAAATATCTTATTCAATAAGAAACAAGCAAGCGATTCCTCACTAAAATGTTAAATGTCGCCTTTCATTCTAAGATGGAGGAGAGACATTGATGCAATATCGTTAATAATAAATGAACTGTAGTAACTGGCATCTGTCAAAACATAAACAAAAATCAATTTAAATTCATGTCAAAATGATTTTTTAAAAAATTTTCTAAATTATTCTAAACAAATATTTGTCTCGACTCCATTTTTTTTACAGTCTAGCATTAGAAATATTCCAGTTTTGTATTCTTATGTACCCAGGATGCAAATTTAGAAAAATTAGGTTGTTTTTTTTAAGTGGAAATTTATAAAATTATCTAGCAGGATTAAATCTTCTTTAAATAAATAATTAGAAAAACAAATTACATATTTATTGTTAATATTTAATGGTGTTTGCTAAATAGAAAGTATAATGTGTCGCCTCGTTAATCGATACCTCAAGGTAATTCTTTTTTTTATTTTCTTAAGAAAAAACAATATATTTTTATGGGAATAATTTTAAAAATTATAAAATATACGAAAAAGATACTTAATATTGAGAATTCAAAACAAAAATTTTAGATAAATACGTTCTCGCGGATTATCTCTTACCAATCTTTATGACGATTGAATGTCCTGTACTTTGTACTGGATTTTATATAATAAATTTATTTTGATAAAAATCTTTCTGTAAATAAAATCTTCTGGAAGCATTTTTTTCTTATTTTAAATCGCCTAAACACAGTTTTACTAAAATTTTAAAATGCTAATTTGTTTTAACAATGCTAGGAAAGGGAGAATAATGCTATTAATTGAGTATAAATTAAATCCTAATTAACTTAAACTAGACCTTTAAATGTAATAAAATTGTTAATATCAATATTGCACGACGCTATTTCTAATTCTATTATATTAACAAGTAAACTACACTAGACTCTTCTTAATCCGCCCATTCTTAGCGTGCCGGATTAACGAGACTGTATAGGCCTGAAGGCAACAAATGGCGTTACTTGTCGCCTTTCGTTACCGATTCTTCTTGAAGAGAGGGCAAACAATAAGGCGTGTTGATATGCAATACCGTACACATAAAAGAAACACGAGTAAACGTGAAAACAGGATGTGTGACATAACAAATTCTCATGGAAACGGAAGCGCATATAGTAACACCGTTCGTATGTCAAATAATCGAGACCATTATATTAAGATGGATCATCAAGAGTGTGGTTTTCCTCGGTATTATGAAATACAACCCTTACTTTCATTGCATACTTTATATCTGAAATAAATTATTGAAAAACTAGCAGGTAAGCCCGGCGTTGCTCGGGCAAAAAATAAGAACAAACATTAAGATTAGCTAATTTCGTACTTCTAACCCTTTTATTGTATTTTATTATAGAATTTGGTTTATGTAACTACACTGGTGGTTTTTTCTAGCCACATTGCAGGTACGAACTCACTTGAACTTGAGACGAATGCCTTTAACAGCGACTTTCTTTGTCCTCATTGTAGTTTTGCACTGCGTGCCCTCATGTCACCTGTGATGTCTTCTTGCATACGAACCATCTTTGGACTGAATTGGGTGTTCATTGTACTAATCGCAACAAGCCCTACATCTACAGTTTCATGCTTGTCTGCTTAAAAATTAATGAGATAAATTAAGTAGCGATGTAAACTATTATTTTCAGTAACATCGGCTTGAGATTTTTTTTATAATATTAATATTTATTGTAAATATTATTTAGTAACAATTAAATTTAATCGAACAATAAATGTGTCGCGTGACATTTTCTCACTTGATATCTTCATTAAAATTTTTGTCATTTATGTAAATTTTTCTCATTAATATGGTAATTGTAATTTAAATTGTAGCAATTCCCTTTGAATAATTAATAGATTAATTTTAACGATATGAATTTTTTTTTAATTTCTATAAAGCGATATTCTTCTGTAAATGCCAACTTTTATCACTGTATTCAAGAACAAAGTTCTACAATTTATTTAAATTTTACTGTATTATTTTCTAAATTACACTCTCTCTTATTTAAAATAATCTTCTCCAATTTAAATTAATCTTGTTAAAGATTTTTAATTACAACTTTTTGAAGTTTGTAATTTCTAACAAAATAAAATTACTTGGTCACTTAATCTGCGAGTTTTAATAGAATTTTTTTTAAGGTTTAATTCTTAAAAATTCAATTAAAAATTTGATATAGTGTAGACAATTAACATTTCGTGAGCGTAACGTAATTTACTTAGATAATCATTAAGATAAAAATTAAAGGAATTTTTTTATGAGCAAAGTATTATTTTTACGTAAACCGTCTTCATCGTCATTTCAACGACATATGTAGAGCGCATCGTAAACATCGCAAGTATTTTTATACGTAAAATCTCCTGCTTGTATTGTTAGTTTCCTTTAATAGAGGGATAAAATGTTCCAGATTAGAGTAAACACATAAGTGAGAAGTATTTTTCCCGTGTAAATAAAATAATAAAAAAATAGATGACGCGCGGCGTCGCGTAGCGTCGCCNTTTTAAAAAATTCAAATTCTCTAATTTCTTCGAGCTGCGAAAAATGAAATAAATAACGTTTTTATTGCGCACCGAGTTTATTCAGGAAAAAAAGTCGAAAAAGTGCGGTGTCTCGCAGCTGAAGCGGCGATCCGTCACGTGATTCATTGACGTCACAACCGACCGTAAATTAGAATTATGCACCAGGACTAGGAGAGGATGTTACTTATTTTATTTAGCGCGAAGACACTTTATTTAGCGAGAGCGAAAAGTCAACTGTCAATTAGATCAGCAGAGGTAAAAGGACGGGTGGTGCGGTGTAGAGAGGGAGTGTAGCACGTGCTGCACTGAATGGCAACGTCGCTCTAGCCTCCGAGCGATAGCGCACTTAGCAAAGCGGCAACGTTGACAACGTAGACTTTTGCACCATTATTTAGAAAGTTAATTGAGTATTTGCGGATCCTCAGCGCTGGATCCAGCAGGCCGAAAAATACGCTGGATCCAGCTGGATTGCTGGATGAGGGATCCAGCAATTGCAATCCTTAGCTATAATGTTTTGATAACCACCTTAAGTTTTTAATTGGGCTGCAATTTGAAAACATTGTAGACCTATAAATTCCCACTGTTATCTGTCTGCCCTTCCTTAATCTCGAGAATAGTGTTAGATGAAAGNTAATTCTATGTTTACGTTAAAATAATAATTTTATAAAGAAATATTTATATAAATTCTTTTAATTTATATGAAAATAAAGGCTTTGAATACAAATCCGCCATTTTTGGTCTACGTGTGTATTTTTTACTTTTCGAATTTATAACGTATATCTAACTTAATACATACATTTATTAAAAACCATTCAAAAATATGATTTTATTATTCCAGAAGTATAAAAATGAAGAACTATAAATGTCATTTTAAATATATATTCCATCTATAGCAATTTTTATTGAGAAAGTAAACATCCTCAAGCTATAAATTGATTTTTATGTTTTTAGGGAATGTGTTTTTCTTTTTCAAAATTTTTATATTCAAATTTTGATGTAAACAACATTTATTGTGTACTTAAATATTTCTAGAAAATATTGAAATATTTAATATTTCAATATTTTCGACATGCTATAAATAAAGATGATCTTTCCTTCAAATTGTTTACGTAGACATTTTCAACATGGCCGTCCTTTAATTCGTCATAGAATAAAAAAATGCTAAATTTGAAGCGTGTCAATTATTAATTTATTAAGTTTTTAATAAATATTTCGTTTTTTCACCAAATTTTCTAAGTACTTTGAAATTCCGATCATTGCTTAAATTTACAAACTGATATTTGCATTAATCAGAAAATTGTTTTTTTCTCATTTCACCCTGTGGGCCCGAAAAAGGCCATATATAAACACGTGCTGGAATTGGCCATGTCCACAACAGGCATAGATTAATGGTAAGGAACGTGGTTATTCATAAATACAGTAGACCCCGTGTAACAATGTTGATTTTTCCGTGTTATATGAATTCCATGTTGTACGAGTCACTTAGATTTTACAAATACGTGAGCCAGGCACAGAAAGGCACACGTATTTGTAAAATCTAAGTGACTCGTACAACATGGAATACATATAACACGGAAAAATCAACAGTGTTACAGGGGGTCTACTGTATTGAGCCGACTCGAACTCGGATTCCGCTAGTAACTATCGTTTAAGCCAGGGATGTCCAACTTTTTTGTTTCTCTGGGCCACATTGGAAGATGTCATGGAGTTTTAGGCCACAAGTATATATAATATACTTGTGGCCCAATCCTTAAGTATATTTGTATATTTAAGGATTAACATGTCTAGATTATAGTAATAAGTATTAAATCTTTATCACGAAAAAGGATATTTTAAAAAATACTTTTTTACAGACACTTTCAATTTTTACTTAGAAATAAATAAATTCATTTATTATAAAGGAGACAAACAAAAATTTATTTGAAAAACACAAATAGGCCAAATGATATTTTTTACGCCAAACTAAAAAAAAAAGGTAGCCGACTTTGGTGCAAAGTAGCCAAATCATGCAACGCTGGAAGGAATACTAAATAAAGCCGGAGTTGAACTCAAAGGATTTAGACCCAAATGCGGGGAAAGGAGAGAAAGGACAAAAGATAAAGAAGTGTTGGAAATTAAAGTTGGAAAATTAAGGGTCCACATTTGCTTAATTTAATTAAAACAGAAAGTCTAACCTTTCTCACTACTTTTTTATCTTTTAACCTTTCACTCCTTTCCCCGAATTTGGGTCTATAATTATTTCAGTCGCAACTTTAGCTTTATTTAGTATTCCTTCCTTATTCACACATCTTCAAGTATTTGAAAATATTTCCTTTCCACTCAAAAATAAAATATATATAAAGGTTTACGGCTTTGTGAAACTTCTTTTTTCAGTTCATTCCGTTGAAATAAACTAAAAGAAAAAATTTGTCGGTATTGTTTACACGTTTATTAGGCCGCATGCGGCCCGCGGGCTGCGGGTTGGACACCACTGGTTTAAGCCATCCTGTCGTCAATAAATCTGAGATTAACACAATTAAACCTTGTAATTTAAAAGTAAAAAATACTTGTTTTTTGCAAATAAGCAAATGTAAGTTTGAGCAATAATTTGTAACAATTAATTGAAAGCTTTTAACATGAATTTGGGTACGATTTTGATTACTTTTCTGAATATTTAAATATAAACACGCGTTTACAGCCTGTACAGTACATTACGTACAGACTAAAAATAAAGATTAAAACATTGTAAAATATTCTATTTTGTTAATTCTTCTATTAAAATTTTTATTTGTAAGCCGTTACGTTTCATTCAAGTTTGGCTGCAATTTGAAAAAAAAATTGTAAACCTATAAATTCCCACTAGCGTCCGTCTGTCTGTCTTTCCTTAATCTCGAGAACGATATTAGGTAGATGAAAGTCGGAACTACGTAATTAACTATATACGAACTTCCGGTTGTACCTGAAGTGCCTTTATTTCAATTCAAATAATTTCTCCTGAATGGAGTTAAATAGACGACTGGTATGTCTTCATTGTTAACAGGAAAAGTGTGATTTACAGAGGCAAGACACTACTAAAATTGAGAGCATTGTGACGAAAAATTGCACGCACCCAGGCATTTTGATGATGTCACAATAAATAATTGCTCATTTTCTTTAGTAGTTTTAATTTCGATGCAGAATAAAGTCTTTCCTCTATCATGTTTTATTTTTTATTTTTGTATCTTCACTCCATGGGTACTAAGAGGACCTTTCTAATCAAACCTATCGCCGGGCTCACAATGGAGGCATCAGTTTGTGAGGAATTTTGTATATTATTTTATTTGTCAATAATTTGTAATCAAAAATTATAGCCTTCAGTTTATTTAAATAAAATTTACTATCAAATTACGTACGCATTCCAACAAGTAGATTATAAGTTTATAAGGCTATCAAATTCTGACGATTAATGCGATTGGAATATTCTTCAGAGTATCGTTAATTTTATTAGGATTTGTCATTTAATTCTTTAATATCTCGTTTTAGAAGATATAAATCTGTTCTATAAAAGGAAGTGTTTGTAGAATATATATATATATAGTAAGAGGAAATGAATAAAAGTTATAAAAGTGAACGTAAACGTACACTACGTAATAATAATAATACACTATGCAATATAATAATTATAAAATGCCTCCTACATTCTCGTGTAATTGATTTAAAAAACTTGAAGACATTCTTTAGTGAAGATAAAAATAAAGACGATAATCAAAAAGAGGAAGAGAAGAAAGAGGAGTAAGGAAGAAGAGGAGCAGGAAAAAAGATGAAGATGAGGTTGAGAAGTAAGGAAAAAGAGGATGAAGAATAGGAACAAAATCAAGAAAAAAAATAGGGTGATAAAGATGAGATGGAGAAGCAAGGGAAAAAAGAGAAACAAGGAAAATGAAGAAGAGAATGAAGATGAGATGAAGAAGTAAGAAAACAAAAAGAGAAACAAGGAAAAATAAGAAGAGGATGAAGATGAGGAAGAACAAAAAAGAAGAAAAACAACACAATAAACAACAAGAAGAAAAACAAGAATGTGATAATAACGATGCATTCTACAATAAATTTTGTTTAAAACTTAATTTTTTTTTTTTTTTCAAACATAAATTCTCAACTCAATTCATTAGACTAAAATTTAATTCAATAATAAAATTTTACTTTTATTGCTTTTATCGTTTATTTTTAAATTTTTCTTAATAAGTAAAATTTAGCGTTTTATCATAAATAACGAAAAGTACAGTACATAAGAACCGATTTTACGTAGAGAAATAATCATTTCAAGACATTATCTCGAGAGTAACGAAGTGAAATTACAGAAAATCGAGTAATCGATTTGTGTTTCGAATCTCAAATTGTTGACATTCAGTGTTAAGAATCTTATTAAAATGCAAATTAGGAACTATGCCACAACCGATTTATATAACAATAGGGGTCATTTCTATTGATAACTATTCCTACAATTAGAATAATTACTAGAAATTAAAATGGATTTATTTCTCGGAAGTGGTTATTGTTTTTAAAGAATTTCTTTTATAAACGGTCTTATAATGAGTTACTACATAAATATACTTAATACGTTTGACGAAATTTAAAGCATTTAAATAATAGATAAAAATCAACTGTAAACACCAGTGAAGTAAATGACAAAAATATAAATAAATGTCATCCAAGATACTATATTCGGTTTTGCCTTTTTGAGTTTTAAAGCGAAGTGTAGCGTTTATTTAAACAAATAATGCTTAAATAAAGTATTATTTGTTTAAATGAAATATATTTATTTAGAAAGAAGCGTGTGTTGCGCTTCAATTCGTAAAAAAATTTTGCACTACACGAAATTTATTATAATTGAATTTTTTTCTTTAAATGTATAAAGAAAACACTTTTCTTCACGATTCTAAGTAAACTACAAGAAAAATTGGTTTAATATTAAATAAAAGTTTAAAAATTCACCAACCTGTTAACAGCAACAACCTCTTCGGCCAAATACGCCCAATTTCTCTATCGTTCGGTATTTATGCTTTCACTCTTAATCCCCGTGACGTCACGCATCGTAGGTGGCTATTGTCGGCGAAGAAATCATTAATTTTTTCATATATTTCGATTAAATTTGGAATAATTTATTAATTTTTTTAAATAAATGTAGTTAAATTAAACGATAAAACCGTTAAATAATATCATTTAATAACAGTTTCTGTTTAAAATTTGAAAATTTAAATTTCTCGCTCTTTAATTGGTCATTTTATAAATTACGTTTTTCAAAATCCAGCCAATCGCATTTAGGGAAAATTTTTAATAGAACTAATTGCGCGTAAGTAATAATAATTTGTTAGTTATTGTATTCTTACACAATAAGATTTAGTTCGTCGGCTTTCTGTTCATTATATTATCCAAAAGATAACGTATTGTCTTCCTTTATCGGTAATGGCACCTTACGTTTGATAGGATTAAGAACAATAAGTTTGAATAATGCAATTTGTAAATTTTATTTTGTCTTGAGAACATACTTTACTAGTCAATTATTGGATAAAGAAGGCCGTACGACAGTTCTTGGCTCACATGAGGATTGATAATTGTATTTCAAAGTATCAATAACGAATAAATTCTTTCAAACGCTAATACAATAAAATGGCAGCCATTTTTATCATCTGGATTTTGTTACTGGAACGTCTAAGCACTTTAATAATCTCAATTATTCTAATATTAGAAAAATTTAAAGGAAACAAAATACCGAAATTTTAATAGCTTAATTAATACAGTCGAACCTCTAATAACGGCGAGCTGTTCTTTACGTTCCCATCAGTGGCCGTTGTTCAGAGGTTTGACTGCAACCTGAATGTTCTAGTTCTCAGTGACGTGTTATCCTACGGGCAAAAAAGAGTAATTGCCCCATCAAACAGGGGCCCCAAACAGAAATTCCACCGAAGGAAAATGTCATGAGGCCCCCATAATTCAAATTCCTCTGAGCTCCATGAAGCTATAAAGCTCCACTAAGAGTTCTCGAATTGTTATAGAAATTATTTAAATCATAATTGGCTAACTATATTCAACAATTCCTACTATTTGTTTCGTCGAAAAGCTCTTTTTTAAATTAAAACCAATTAATCCAGGTGTAGAATGCTACTTAACATTAAATCGTGGCACCTTTGCGGATCCATAATTATATAAATTTTAAAAAGCTTTTATCACGGATCTAAAGGATGCATTATATAATGCTAATCATAAAAAAAACAGCAGGGTATTTAGTAATAGTACCCTTGATAATAACTAAAAGCATTCTTGTTTGGATGCAATATCGACCATCTTTAAGAACGTTAATTAGTGAAATTGGCCTATTGAGATAATGCTTCTGTAGATTGTGAGTGGTCGTAGAAGTTTCATGGAGTATTTTTTAATATATAAATTTATAGTGTAAATCTCGTATCACACAATATAACATATAATACAAGCTCTAGAATCCTTAAGAGTAGGACTTCAGTTGTTCGTATGCGAGGTTCCTAAAGTGCGTGGTTCTTAAATAAAACACTAAATTTTTACTTTCATAGTTCAGTTTTCATCCATCTTCATTGGGAATGAGAAGTTTAGCGCCATTAAGAATATGCTAGCCAATAGCTGAAGGTAACAGGCTTTAATAATGCGTTAGGAAGAAGATCAAAAATTAAAAAAGGGGATTTAAAGATGCCATACCAAGGAAATTAACTATTAAAACTACAATTTATTTCTTATATACATAATTTCATATATATATACAGTATATGAAAACTATAGTATCTATAGCAACTGAATAATGGATCAATATTTCTATTATATAAAATTTCTGGATATAAAAGGATATTCGCGAAACAAACACGATGCCATTTTCAACTTAAATATGATACACGAATTTAAAAATATGTATTAACAATTATGCAGTATTAAAATAATACAGTAATAGCGCTATTGATCCGAACTCGTTGATAACTTTGTATTAAGTCAACAGTCCCGCCCTTTTAATGAAATGATTGCATGCGCTTGATTATGTAAAATAATATTGATTTACTGTTACTACGAAATAAATTACTCAAATCGTGAGTAACCAAGTAGCTGCTTTTGTGTTACGCTCGAAATTAAATGGTAAACGTATATGGTCAATGTCGTATAAATATCTATACTTTAGAATATATTAATATATTTTACAGTTATATAATTAATATATTGATATAATTAGGTATAATAAAAGCATTTTAATTTTATTTTAATTAATATAAACCAAATTGAATGCAACATCACGTGATCTTCAGAAATGTTACGTCGGAATTAAATTAGTGATAAATAAATTTTCTCGTGATTTATGTTTTTCATTATTTAATAATAAATTATGAATGAAATATAGTCTGTTAGCAATTATAAATAGTCTATAAAGAAAATAAATAAAACTTTCGCAAAAGTTTAATCACGTGACAAACATTTAATTACGTTATTTGAATTAATAATTCATTCATTAAATGCCGCACTATTTCGTTATTTGATAAATGTTAAAATAAAATTTATTGTACCGATTACATTAATAATAAATGTATTTTTTTTATTTCTATGATAGCAATTTTCATTCCTAATTCATTTAATAATTTACTGCCAATCACTATTAGTAATTTAGTGTAAGAACAGCTCCGCATTTAATTATGTTTTTTTTTTTAAATTGATGATGAAAGAAATTAATTTATATAGAGGTTTTATATATTAATAAAACCTGTAATATTTTTGTAATAATAATAATAATAATAGTATTTATTGCTTAAAATGTTTGACGTAATTTTTTAAAAAAAAATTAACATTTATCACGTGNATGTTATTATTTTATTTATTTTCAACTATCACTTAAGAAGATATGACACAAATTTAAATTTTAATTTTAACTGTCTTAAATTTTTTCGTTAATGGTGATTGGTTTAAAATCGAATTAATAATAATAATAATAATAAAATAAATTAAAAACTTTATCGTTAAAAATATTAATAATGGAATCTAAATTTAACGTTATATTTTAAATAATTTTTATATATTTTCTAGTAATGTCTATGTTATAATTTTATAATTTAATAAGCAATCAGACAAGGATACTTTATATAACTTTGTATATAAAGCTTAAATTTCGGTTTCTTAGATGAATTTTTTTATGGATTTTTTCAATCTTCTCCTCAGTAAACATGTTCATTCTTGTTCTAATAAAAATTATTTTAAAGTCTGTAAGTCTGTCCACTATCAAGTTAACAATGTTTTTAGGTTTAATGCAATTATATAGGCTACATTGAGATGGATTATATGTTTAATGTGTCGAATTATATCGAGTGTACTTTTCCGATCAATTAACGAGTAAAATCCTAAACATATTATAGAACTAAAAATGTTTTCGTTATTAATAAATATTTTTCCATTTTCCTTCATAGAATTTACTTCTTTGATAGAATACAAATCGAGAAATTTTAAGATTTTTGCAAATCAATCCAACAGAATGCAAATTGACATAATCAAAATTTGATAACGTAGAATTTTCCAACTGTTTTCCGGAAAGTATCAATAAAAGAAATTTCAACAAACCTTCAAATGTCAAATTTTTCAATTTATTATTTTAACTTCCAATTTTTTTTTAGAAAATGAAATTTCTGGAGACTCTTCAATTCTTCGTCCGTTATAGGAGCATTCGAAAGTTTCAATGATGTCAAATTGGGGTAAACATTAAAATACTACTGCACTTATATAATTCTGAATTGGATAAATGCGAATCTTTCTCAGATTTAGCTTGCTGTGTTGGAATAATAGAGAATAATAGTGTAAGCCATTCACGTGTGTGTCGATATCTGCGTCGAGAACATGTTTATGTGTCAAAATATACAATATACCCGACCATGTGACTTCTGTACGGCGAATTTTCGACACTTTTAAATGTTTGCAACGTGTGTTATGATGTTGCGAATCGTAAGAAAGACGTAAGAGCCCTGAATTTGTTATTGGACATCCTGATACATCTAGATTTTCTAGAAAATGACAACTAGATCCTATCGTTTCTAAAACTCTGTCAGTTGTTCTGGTTCCATTTAAGACAAGAACTGATACATTCTTCAAGTGACAAGTTAAAGTATTAATATTATTTTCTGATAAATTTGTTTTAGTCATAATCATATAAACGATTGTCTGAAAATAGAAAATAAATAATTTATTTATCAGTATAAACAATAAATAAATAATTCAACCTTAACGTAAGGAAATTAATGATAAGATCAATACAGATTACGATCAGATAATTACAGCAACGTAACGTACTTGACACCTTTGTTGCATATTTTGACTTACTTCACAATTTTTTATACGATATTTGATTGAAAAATCGTGCTGATAATAAGATAAGTCGACAACTTTTATCCCATATCTAAACAAATTTGTTATCATTTCTTGTTTATTGTAAGGTCGATACAAAAGATCTTCACAAACAGCGGGCGCTATGAAATACGGCAATCAACTTAACATGATACATTTTCGTAGATATTTTAGAATTTTAATTAAATAAACGTACGAAAACCGGAAAAGAATTTATTTAAATCCAATTTTCTTTGCCTTAATATCGTTAAAACATCGGTTAAATTACGTAAAACGTAATTTAAACAAATCACGTATAACGTTTCTTTAGCGTCGTTCATTTTTGTATATCCAAGAACTTCAGTTAACAATTCAAACCTAAGAATTAAATAAAAATAATAATTTTTCTTATCAAATTGTTGCGAAAACAATCTCAAATTTGTTAACTTCATTATAGAATATGAAAATTTCTTTATTTACCGTTCATTAGAGAGTAGTAAATCAAAAGAACTTAAAGAAGCAACCATCTTAAGCTGTTGTTTCTTAGAAGCTTCTTTCATTTTTGGTAATAACTATTTTATTTTTTCAATTTAATTCCAATATAACTTATTTTTCTTTCATTTCTCTAGTATTTATTATTTGTCTTTTTAGTTTATTTTTGTATTTTTCTATTAAGTTAATACTTTTATTAAATCCTCTTAGCAAAACTCTTATTTTCTTATGCTTGCTTCGACTGTTTTTAGTATATTCTCTATATTGTTTTCTTATTATCTATCTAAATCTTTTCTAATAACCATCGCTCTTATGGTTTCTAGTTAATGTAGCATTTACATTCAGTATAGTAATCCAAGATTCTACCATGGAGTCAATATGTACAGTACAGTACCATCATAAACTATCCACATTTATTTAATCGTTTTAATTAGTTTTTAGTGAAATAAATGTTATTATTTTATTTATTTTCAACTATCACTTAAGAAGATATGACACAAATTTAAATTTTAATTTTAACTGTCTTAAATTTTTTCGTTAATGGTGATTGGTTTAAAATCGAATTATTAATAATAATAATAGCGCTATTGATCCGAACTCGTTGATAACTTTGTATTAAGTCAACAGTCCCGCCCTTTTAATGAAATGATTGCATGCGCTTGATTATGTAAAATAATATTGATTTACTGTTACTACGAAATAAATTACTCAAATCGTGAGTAACCAAGTAGCTGCTTTTGTGTTACGCTCGAAATTAAATGGTAAACGTATATGGTCAATGTCGTATAAATATCTATACTTTAGAATATATTAATATATTTTACAGTTATATAATTAATATATTGATATAATTAGGTATAATAAAAGCATTTTAATTTTATTTTAATTAATATAAACCAAATTGAATGCAACATCACGTGATCTTCAGAAATGTTACGTCGGAATTAAATTAGTGATAAATAAATTTTCTCGTGATTTATGTTTTTCATTATTTAATAATAAATTATGAATGAAATATAGTCTGTTAGCAATTATAAATAGTCTATAAAGAAAATAAATAAAACTTTCGCAAAAGTTTAATCACGTGACAAACATTTAATTACGTTATTTGAATTAATAATTCATTCATTAAATGCCGCACTATTTCGTTATTTGATAAATGTTAAAATAAAATTTATTGTACCGATTACATTAATAATAAATGTATTTTTTTTATTTCTATGATAGCAATTTTCATTCCTAATTCATTTAATAATTTACTGCCAATCACTATTAGTAATTTAGTGTAAGAACAGCTCCGCATTTAATTATGTTTTNTCTATCTAACTCCGTTCTGGAGATTTAGGAAAGACGGGATATTTTCTTGATTTTAAAATGAGATTAGTGAGCTTTTACGCCATCCCAAATTGTTTTTTAAAGTGTTTATAGTTTAATAAAGAAGTCTTTAAAGAATTTGTACAGGAATACGTGATTTGGATAAAGATAGAAACGTAACAAGCTATCGATTTGGTGAAGTTTTCTATCTCTGAGATTACACGATCGACGACTACCGAATACAGATGATCACTCAAGAAAAAAAAAGGCTTACTTTCACGTTGTTTTCTTTGCTGTTACCGTCAACAATCTTTTAATCTTCCAGAATTTCCTCTTATTCTCAAGGATATTGCAAAGGAAATACGAAAATATATCTTAAAGGAAAACAATTACACACAGAACACACAGCTCAAATTAAAGTATTAATATAATTTATGAAAATGAAGCGGTTATTCTGGAATAAATTTCAAAAATTATATAAGAAAAATAAAACGAATCTTTAATTTATTCGTTAATATTCGAATAAATTCTATATAAACTGCTATATGTATTGTTCGATTTAAATTTTGAAACGGAGTGAAATAATTGGTTAATATTTCTGTGACGTATATTGTTTTATAAATTTATTTCACGCCTATTGGTTAAATTTGAATATATTTCGGTGACGTAAATATTTTTAAAATCAAATTTGGAAAAAATTTCCAAATAAGGTAAAATTTTAAATAAAAGGAATAAATAACGGAATTTTGAATTCATAACATCTCTTCTGCACGCAGAAATGCTACATGTTTATATTTTAGAAAAATTAATAAATAAATTTTTTAACTACAAACAAATTTTGATATATTTCTAAAATTATTAATATTTAATTAGAATGAGAACGAGAAATAATTAACTTTTATAAACATGTTTAAAAAATAATTATAATATAATATAAAATTAATGAATATCTTAAAAATTAATCAACGTTCCTAAATTATTTTTTATATATATTTATTTTTAAACTTCTAAAATACATTAAATCAACAAATAAACCATTCGAATTTATTGAAATATTATAAAATATATTTTTTTAAATCTTTATAAGCCGCTGTTTATATTAAATTGACAAAAATAAAACATTTTGAAATGTTATTTGTAACTTAAATATAGGAAAATTTAATGGTGACAAGGGGTAAGATGACGACCGAAGACCGAGGTAGTTAAGGTGTAAGCCATTATTTATTTATTTTAGAACCACTAAGAGGGTCTTTTTACCAAGTCCATTATGGCTTTGGCCAGGTCCACAATAGAACAACCAATAGTGAAGGGCGGGCTTGATGTATTCGGGACGGACAGCCCATGAAAAATTTCCTAAAGTTTTTTTATTTCTCTGGATTCGAAGCCGGGTTCTTCAAAGCCGTAGGCTTTACCTTAACGGCTCTTCCATTCGGAATCTAATCCGGGCGGTCGAAAAATTCTAGAAATCATTCCTGAGGCATAGTCGAGCCTCATCCGCTGCCCCATTGTGGGTCTAGTCAAACCCAAGATGGGCATGGAAAAGAAGCTCTCTTAGCTTCTAGAGAACGAAAAGAGTCCAAAAAAAAAGGAGGCGAGAATGCTGAAAGGATATCTGGAAGAATTACAATGATGTTTTTAATAAATTGTTTTAAAATTAATTACAATTAAGTTTTTAATCTGCTTGTTTAATTTAGGAAGTATCAATTATCCATTGCTTTAAAGATCAAATTTTTATTGTAAACACCCACACTGCTTCTAAATTAATCTTTCATATAAGTTATCCGACAATACATTTATTTAATACTTCTGCATAACAGTTTATCGATTAAACGTTACCTTGTTTACTGGTGTCTTGTTGCCAATTATACGTATATCTTTGATTTGTTTATTTTTAATTAGTTGTTATAATTTTTAAATTTCCAATAATTAAATGAATTTTTAAAATGTTTTTTTGAAGATTTAATTGAAGTTTTATCTTCATTTACTTAAGGTTTCTTTTTTATATTGTTTTACTTAATTTCTGTATTGTCTCTTCTAGAATCTCATGTGTATCATGTTTACATAAGTTTTTTTAAATGTTTAATTCATTTTTTTTATTTTAATAATTAAATGTAAAAATTTAATTTAATATATTTAATAATTAAGTTAATTTTCAAGTAATTTTGTATTAAACAGTTGCACAGGTCTAGAGGGAAGTCAGCAAGCTCATTTGTCTCATGCCACATTTAAAAATACCCCAAAATTTAATATTTTAAGTAAAAATTATTATATTAAAGTGGTGAAAAAATGTGTTTTATTGGTTTTTTTACATATATTTTTATGGTTTCTGGAAAGGAATGGGGCATCAGATTTGTAACTTTACCAGATCCAGGCTCCATCAGGCCTGAGATAAGTGAGATGAAACCCCTTCATGGGACCCCGTTTCATTTCTTTCAGCCTCTTGTATTGCTGATTTATTCACTTTATGTCTAGAATTTTATCACTTTAGTTTATTGGCATCTTGCTGTGAAAGGAAATTTTCAATAAAGATTTAAAACTTGAAAAGATAAAAGGAAACAAAAGACATGCAACTAACTATTGACAAACCCATCAAAAATATAAATGTACACATTGTGAAGTGACAATAAAGTGATAATGCTCCAGAATAGAAAATCTTTGATGTTTAAAACTGATTGAAATCACATGAAACGTACTAAATGGACCATAAAAAGTAAAGTAAATTCATTGAAATTAAAGAAAAATCGATTATATATTAGTTATTCAACCTTTGAAACTGCTGTATGTTTAATAAGCGGTTGGAGGGGCCGCAACTTACCGGTTTATATGCTAAAAACTTTACCAAACTACCTGTTCTAAAGAAAAATTTCAAAATAAAGATAATAAGTTTAAATAAAATTTAAATAAGAATTTAAAAGAAAAAAAATGTATAAAATTTTAATAAAATTAACATAATTTTAATTCACTATAACATGAATAAAAATGAGAAACTAAATTAAAAATAGAGAGAAGAATGCCCCAAAAGTTAGTTAACCAATTCAATTGGGTTTTTAACATAACGGTTAACTAACTTTTGGGTCAATTTTTGTATAAATCAGAATTAAGATGATTGAATTTTTTTTCTAATGTATAAATTTATAATTTTAATTTATAAATAACTTATTTAAAAAATTAATAAACATTTTAAACTTAATTTTCTTAAAATTTATACAAGAACTTTCTTTACTGGACAAAGAAATGACTATTCTTTATACTGAATAATTCATGATCGAATATATTTAATGTAAAACGTAAATTATAGTAAATTTAGGGAAAAAAAATCAAGCTTTAGTTACTAAGTTTTACTAAGAATAAATTTACTTCTACTTAAAACTAATTTACTAAAGTACTGATAGAAAGTTTATGTGAATGCTCTAATGCTGGATCGATAAATTCAAGATTGTTAAAATAACTAAAGCTTCGTATGCCGAAAAGAAATATATAAATTAACGGAAATAAATTAAAATTATCGCTAATGAACTCATATCCTGGACCCTATATAAGGCAAAAGCTAAATAAGTGGCAATTTAGGACCTCACACTACAAAGGGTATTTATAAATTAAAGTTCTCACTTCAAAATAATATAACTCGGACACTAATCAGCAAAGTGACGTCATATTCCACACTGAGACTTCTAAGGTGATGGATTTTTGCTTTGAAACAGAAAAGAATGTTAGTTATAAAAATGTCCGCTAGGGTGAAAAATGGCGCTGAAATACCGTAGTAGATTATTCAAAATATCTTAATAGTTACAATACGTACGATACAGTGTGCGTATATGTAACAACATACTCGATAAGCGGACTTCTGTTGACCCCAACTTGATGAAATCGTCACACAAAACTTGTGTAAGCAATCGCATTTTCGGTCCACCAGTGGCCAAGCGGTCCCAGTGTTCAGTCGTTCCATGAACACTGGGAGTTCGGTTGTGGGTTCGCGCCTCGCTCGGACGGGCTGGCCACGTGGAGTTTTCCGGGTTTTCTCCACGTTGGTAATGCCTAAATAAGGGCCAGTTTCCCTTAAAAAGACCTCCCGGAAGGCATCCCCCTAGACAGATCGTCCACGTGTTGCATCACCGTAATTTAAACAACAAACAATCACATTTTCGTGTTACGGAGGCTGGGGTATGAGCATATTGTTATGTAATCACAGAGTGTACTGTATGTATGGAAACTTTGTGCTATCCACTGCGGTATTTCAGCGCCATTTACCACCCTAGTGGACATTTTTATAACTAACATTCTTTTCTGTTTCAAGCAAAATTCCATCACCTTAGAAGTCTCAGTGTGGAATATGACTTTATTTTGCTGATTAGTTTCCTATTTATAACATTTTGAAACGTTAACTTTAATTATCAACATCCTGTATGTATACTGTATTTGATAGAGAAGGGCTTCTTAGGAATTTAGGGTTGTAGCAAGTTTAAATCTGGCTCTATTAATTGTCATGTAGAAGATTTGATTGCTTCACGATCTCATCTCTTCAAGTTTTGTAGAAATGGAACCTTAAAATAGCAGAGTAAACACAGCGTAACTAGTAGTGTAACCAGCGACAGGTCTTCACCTATACTAATATTATAAAGAGGTAATGTTTGTAAGTTTGTATGTAGGGAGTAATCTCCGAAACTACTCATCCGATTTCAAAAATTCTTTCACCAATATTTAGAATGGAACTTCGAGGTGGACATAGGCTGTATATTATTCCGTTAAACATTCATATAAATTAAAAGATATCATCTAGGGTTAAAGCTTTTATGTCCAACAGATGGCGCTACGAATACGACTACCTAAGTTTGCGTTTCTGTGAGTCGTTATACATTTCTATGAGGATAAACTAAAGCAGATCATCTTCTATCTATCTATATAAATAAAAATGTAATGTTCATTTGTTCCAACCGATTCCTTTGAAATTTTGACACAACGCTGCAATCGAATACGCACGTGTTTTTATATAATATACGTGTCGAAATTCCCGCCACTGGGGGGAGATGGACAGGATTAANACTCATCTATTATCTATCTATATAAATAAAAATGTAATGTTCATTTGTTCCAACCGATTCCTTTGAAATTTTGACACAACGCTGCAATCGAATACGCACGTGTTTTTATATAATATACGTGTCGAAATTCCCGCCACTGGGGGGAGATGGACAGGATTAAGGCTTACTGTAAAGAACTCTGCTTCTAGTTATACTATTTCAGATGAGGTTTTTTGCGTTTTTGATTGCGTTTTAACAGGGTACGTCAAGAGAATATACACTAAGAAGGGATTTTTCGAAAAATTCCTCCCCCCCACGGGTGAAGTGTTATACATTTATAATAGATGCATTTTGAGCCACAACAACGCCTGGCGAGGTCTGCTAGTTGTAAATAAATTAATAAAGCGGCTGGATGGCCGAACGGTCAAGGTGGCACCCTACCGCTCTGGGGGACCCGGGTTCGAATCCGAACGGGTCGAAACATC